GATGCAAGCGCCAACATCTCAGTGTTAGTAGCAAAAGCAATGAGTCTTTCTGCAAGGAACAATATATTCTAAAATGAGATGGAGATCTCTTTTAAAGGTTAAATCTCATTCAATTTTATGTCTTACAGGGCTTATACTAAGTTCAACATTGTATAACTGTATTAATTCAACTGTGAACCTAGAAACTTATAGCCACTTGTGAAAGAGATGTACTCTTGCTCTGGAGTGTGTTAACTGAATATGTTAAAGCTGTAATGAAATGCCTCTTCTAATCATGTAGCTACTTAAAAAAATAAATAAATAAATAAATAAGCCTCTGCTTCCCTAAAAAAAAAAAAAGAAGAAGAAGAAGAAAGAAAAGAAAAAATAAGAAAAAATTAAAAAACTCCAGATCTCCTGGAAATGGAATTACAGACAGTTGTTCGCCACCATGTGGGTGCTGGGAACCAAACCCAGATCCTCTGCATGAACAGTCAGTGCTCTTAACCACTGAGCCATCTCTCTAGCTCTACCTCAGTTTCTTGCATAGTAGGATTACAGCATAGCCTGATTTCAAGATTTATTATAAAGTTATCTATCCACCAAATCAGTGTAGTCATGCCAAGATGAATATAAAAAGCAACTGAACAGAATGGAGAACATAGAAAGAGCCACACACACTATGGTCAACTTATTTTCAACAATGGAAATTGCTTTGGTGGGTAAAAGACTATCTTCCCAATAAATGGCACTGAGTAGTTGGATGTCTGATTTAAAAAAAAAAAAAAGGAACTTTGGCCCTTAATTTGCACTGTAAACAAAAATGAGCTCAAAATGGATCATAATATAACCTAAATATAAAACCCAGCACTATAAATCTTCCAAGAAAAAAAATAGGAAAACGTCTGTGTCCCTCAAGTGGACAAAATTTCCTAGCATGTAAAAATAATAAGTCACAAAAGAAAAAGTTAATAAATTGAATATAATTGTTTTAAGTGTGCATATTGATAAAATATATTTAATAGAGAGTTGCAGACTGTGAGAAAATAGTTTCACATACCAGACAAAGTACTTCTTTCCAGAATATATAAAGCACTCTTACAACTCTGTAATAGGAAAATAAATAACCCAGTTTTAAAATAGGAAAAAATCAACAGCCTCTTCATCACAGAAGAGATATAAACAGCCAGTAAGGCAGGTCAGTGTCATTGGTTACTAGGGAAATCTAAGATAAAAACCACTAAGAGATGTGCTTGGGGTGGGATCCAAAGCAGTGGGAGCAGTGCTGTTCAGTGTGAATTTGCTACAGAAAGCAGGGGTTTGCTGATTCCTCCCTCAGAATCAGTGTTATGCCTTAGCTGAACTCAGAACAGGGTTTCTTCTCAGAGGCCCAATATCCTTTCATGAGTAATAAGTTCTATAACCTTTGGTTTTTAACTTTTATTCTCAAACTTGCTGGCTTTTGAAATCAAAGATCAAGAATAGATGCTTCTTTTGTGATTCATATTTGGAACTCAATGCTCTCATTCCATCTTTGAATTAAAATGTGGTGTCTCCTTCTACAAGGCATTTGAGCCTGTTGTGTGCCTCAGTTTACCTTAGTTGCATCTGCTCACAAGAGGACTCCCTGTCTCTTTGATGTTTCCCCTCCATACATTCATCCTTTTAATAGAGTATGATTTGTCCCATTTCAAACACGTCCTTCTTGGGGCTGGAGAGATGGCTCAGCGGTTAAGAACACTGGTTGTTCTTGCAAGACTGAGGTTTGAATCCCAGCACCCACATGGCAGCTAATAACTGTCCAAAACTCCAGTCCCAGGGGATCGGACAGCCTCTTCTGACTTCCAGGGGTATTGCACGACACGGGTGCACTTACCTGCATGCAGGCAATATATGCATACACATAAAATAAAAATAAATAAAATCAAACATGTCCTCTACATTTTATGAACATCTTCCTGATTGTTCTCTGGTGATAAACAGTGTCAGATTATTTTCACAGGCCTGGCCTAGATGCTTGTGCCTTTTAAATTACTGTCCCTTACTAATCTAGACTGCAAGCCAAGCTTAACTTCCCTAAAGACTAATGACTTAATTTCACTACTGTAATTGGGTCTTTTCTTTGATCATGGACACATTGTCTCTTACAGAGAATGAACATTGGTTTACGAGCATTCTTGGTGATAGCTGATAGCTTGCAGCAGAAAGATGGTGAGCCTCCCATGCCAGTAACTGGAGCTGTGTTGCCTTCTGGAAACACATTGAGAGTAAAGAAAACATATTTGAGTAAGACACTAACTGAAGAGGAAGCCAAAATGATAGGTAGGTTTCAAACATGTTAGAGTTGGCTATGAAGCCTTGAAGATCACCATCAGATCCTTACTGAAGTGAGAGGCACTTTTAAAAAAAAAGGTCTTTGAAATGTAGCTGCTGAAGCTTTCCAGGACAGTTGTGCTGATTGATTCATGCTGTGTTTTGGTTTTGCTGCCCTTTAAACTTTTTAGGACTTCCTGGTAAATATTTTTCCACCTAAATGTTGGCCTTTTAACTGGGTCCTTATAAATATCTAGTATTGGTTATCAGTTATCTACAGTTTTCAGTAAGTTTCAAGTATAATCTTGTTTATAATTTGTTCATTCTTTTCTAAAGAAAATTTCCAGCTGGGTATGGTGGCGGACATCTTTAGTCCCAGCACTTGGGAGGCAGAGGCAGGTGGATCTCTGTGAGTTTGCTGATCCCAGCCTGATCTACCAGGGACTATTCTGTACAACTTTTATTCTCCCCAGGCCCCAGAAAAAAAAAAAAAAAAAAAAAAAAAAAAAAGAAAGAAATTTTCCTTCTTTTTTTCAGTAATATTGTTCTAATATTTGTATTTTAAGTATGCCAATTCCTATAAACACTAAGTTACATTATAGATGTAATCTGCATGAGATTCTTCTCTCTAATTTAGCTTTCTTAATCCAAAGAATGTGGATTAAGAGGTGATTTTTTTTTTTTTTTGCATTTGGTTATCCTTTTTAAGTACCCAAATTTAGAAACTATTACAAGCTGTGTTAATTCCCAAATTCCAAAGATATGAAGGAAATACCTACAGAAACTCTTCACTTTAACATATTGATTATGGGGCTGGGGAGATGGATTTGCAGTTAAGAGCACTGGATGCACGTGCAAAGGACCCAAGTTTGATTCCCAGCATCCACATGGCAGCTAACAATCATCCATAACTCCAGTTCTATGGCAATCCAGCACCCTCTTCTGACCTTTGTGAGCACTGCACAACATGGGTGCACTTACATACATGCAGGCAATACACTCATACACATAAATAAAATAAATAAAATATTTTAAAACA